TTATCAAACACAGGTTGAGCACAGGGTACTTGTGAAGTGTTTGCTGCTGGGCTTATCTCATGAATAAGCTAATATCACCTTTGTCCTTATCTTTGTCTACTGACAGCCCTCCTCTGTAGCTGAGGATAAAGTCAATTTTTTCCCCCACAAAGACCAGTTCCAGTCTCTCTTTCCGTTATATCAGCCCAGAGTCCTCAGGATGCTAATGGCCTCTCGCCCCTGCTGATTGCCAGGTTTGTCATTGTTTTACTCTGGTGAGTTTGTGTGTAGGGCTCTCCAAACTGTCTGTTAGTTGACAGACTGCTGGGTGCTCTGGAGCAAACCAAGAACATCAGATTCTGGGCCTAGCCTTACAGGAGTGGATGAGTCAGTCAGTAGGAGAAAAGATTTGCACAAAGAAAGTTCTCATTGTTATTGGAAAAAATCTCTCCCTAACTTCTCTATTTTAGATGATGTAATTTTTTTCATCATTGTTCCTAAGGGATGAGTAAGGGATTGAAGAGGAAGCACTGGTTGGAAGCAGAACATAATGAATATATTCAACCTCTATTTGAGGTTGAATTTGAGGTTGAGTTTGAGATTTCATTGGGACAGGCTGGGCTCAGTGATCTCTGACCCTTCTAATGACACTGAGACTCAAACAACTAAAGACACTGCATGAACAGGCCTTTCCAACCTGCCTTTTTTGTAGCTCAGGCACTCACTTGAGTAGCTGTGGCAGCCTCTCCAGTGGTCACCTTCTCCTCAGTCTATTCTGCAACCTCTATTCAGACTTCTTAGTTCTTCAACAGCTAGTTCAATTGCCACTCTACTTCCAAACAATACTGGGTTAAGAACAAGTAAAACTCCATTGCTGCTACATTTGTGGAAATTCCCATGAGGATACCATCCCGTTTCTCAAAGGAAGTCTCAAAGGCTTAAAGACGGCCAACCCCCTAGCCAGGTGTTCAAGGCCCTCTGAACTCACCCTCCAGGTTTACCCTGTGCTACAGCTCCACACATTCCCACGTTCCCACATTCACACATAGCAGAAAACCTCTGACTTCTCATTCCTTTTTCTTCACTCACATTCCTCCCCAAGTCTGCATGTCCTCCATGTTCCTGCCTCCTTCTCTCCCTCCATCTGCCCTACCTGTCAACACTCTAAACTCTCCTTCATAGCTTCACTCAAATCATGACTCTCTCATAGATCCCCATGACTGTCTGCTCTAGATGTCTGCTCTCTGAGTTCTCATGGGACCTTTTGTATACTTCTGACACCCATCATGTTACACCTGGCATCAAGTTCAATGTGTACCAATCTCTGCTATTAAGCTATCAGAGAGAAGGGTCCCTGTCTTATTCATATTGGTGGCTCCACCTCAGCAGCTGCTTTACATACAGGGTAACTTCTACAAAAATTGATCATATAGTTCGTTATAATTTATTGCCCAAGCCAGGACACTTTTGATAGTGAAAGGGCCATTCTTAATAGTTATGCTGGGCTACAAGTAAAACTAAAATTGTTCCTGGCTACTCAGTCACATGGTAGTCTATTTATGCCAAATGAAGCCTCAATGAATAGCTTATGAATTAAGTGGAAATGCTTACAATGTAGTAGCCAGTCATCAGTGTAAAGAGTTGGAGGAAAGTGTCTTTTGTAAAGCTGGTATTGCTGAGGATGGTTCCACTGAACAGGTGGTCCCTGAGGTATGACTAGAGGGAAGGAATAGGATTCAAGAAGGTCTACTTAGAGAAAAAAAGGGATGACAGAACCACATTTGATACATTCAGAGAAAAGGGTTCATGGCTGAAATTGATGGTTTATATTGAGGAAAAATAGGCACCATGGTTGGAAATTGGAGCAGGAAGAAACTGGAGTGCTAACACCAGGATGTATGTGTGGGGGGAGGGTATTATAGTCTTTATGAAGGAGGTAAGAGCAGCAAGCACCTGAGTGTTTCTGAGCAAGAAAGAGACAAAGAAAATGTAGCATTTTGGGAGACTGTTCTCATGGTCATATATAGAGAGAGGTGAGGCTGAGGAGACGGAGGCCACATGGATCCATGGAAATAATCTCAATGTAAGATGACAAGAATTTAAAGGAATGAGTAAATCAGGACAACTGAAAAAGTAGGACTAACAGCACTATGTGACCCAAAGGAGTTGGGGATAGTTTTGGGGTAATAATAGGTACAGATTCATTCTGTTGGAACCATAGATTGAAATAAGGAATCAAGAAGCAGAGATGATTTGGATGAAGATTATAAATTTATTGTAAATTTTTACCCACTAATTATGAGGCACCAGCAAGTCATCTAAATGGGAATATCCAGAAATAGCCAGACAGGAATGCCCAGGAGGTGGGAGAAATGAGACTGAAACCAGAAAAGCTGGGGTTCATGCTGCCTGTCACCTACCAAACCCAATAAGCAGAGACAGGGATTGAATCTTTATGAGTGCTTTATTCAGATGGCTGGCAATCTGAGAAGACAGCAAGTATATACCTTAGCAGACCACCTTACACTTCCTTTCAAGCCAGCCCTTTGAATAAGGGGCAAAAGTATAGGTTAGAGGTCTGGAATTAAAGAGAAAAAATTGTAGATAAGGGATTTGGAATTCAGGAAAGAGGTTAATCAGATAAAAGCTGCAGTCTGGTAATTTCCCTGATACCCTTTCATTCACTGACTGGTCATTTTCTTTATCTGTGTCCTGTACCCTGTGTCCTAGGTGATTTTCTTTATCTGTGTAAAGACTGTCTCTCCCTGGAATGCAATGGCTCAGATACCACCTTGATTGCTTATGGTCTCTTCTGGAGCACAAAGGTCACTTATCTCCTGGAGTCAGGGTGGGTTTGAGGCAGGAGATTAGTCAGGAAGGAGGAAACTCCAGAGGTGCCCCAGGGCTAAGATAAAGAACCTGGATAAAGGGTGGAGACCCTGTTCTAAGACTGATAGTTCATGCTTTCTGGAAAAGCATTGAATCCTAGTGAATGCACCTCTGTAGAAGATGCTACCTGACCCCTCCTTAATTATAATAGCATTATAATAAATTAGCATTGTGGGACCCCCTTCCCAGTAGCCAATCAAGGAAATCATGGTAGACTTACCCTAAGAAATAAAAGCCCTCTAGCCCCTGAGTTTGGGGCTGCTGTGAAGCTGCTGCTGTTAGGCTCTGCTTTGCTCTTTCTCTGCTCCGCTCTGCTCAGAGCTGGCCTGCTCCCATGTGCTGTGTGGCTTAATAAATCTGCTTTCTCTTACTTTGTGCTATAAACTCTGTGTGTTTGGTTCAATTTTTGCCTGTGATCACCAAGAACCTGGTTACCTGTGCCCACCTGTGACAGGCTGTACCTGCAGTTTGTAAAACAATAGCTTTTTACATGCATTAACTACTAGGCTTATTAAATATTACCTTAAACTCAAATTTTCCAACTCTTGAGTCCCCCATTAAGACCAGAGGGGATGATTTAGGGGGAGCCACCCATGGGATTGTAACAGGTGTGGAACAAGGTTTAGAACTTGGGATGCCTAGGAATATAGGAAAAAACTCCCACAGCCATTGCTTGGAGGCTGGGGAAGTGGACAGACCAGTTAAGAGGTACTTTGCATATCAGTAACAGCTGGCTAGCTTCTAGTTATGTTAAGTAGCTGTGGCAGGGATTTGGAGTGGGAGAGATGGGCATGGGTTTAATCCTTGATGTAGCCAGGAGGTGGTTCCTTGGTTGCTGTGCCTGCATGAGAGGAGGAAGGAGGTTCCCTTACTTCACAGGGCCAAGCCTGCCCAGACTAACAATGACAACCGAGAAAGGCAGAAGAAACCAGATGGGCAGATGTAGCTGATTGTGGGAGGATTTGGAAATAGGGTTGAGGAGAAGGTTCAGGGATTTAAACTCAAATGTGAGGCAGCCATGTTCTCTGGACCATGTGGCTTGGAAGGGAGTAGGAGAGCCATGAGGGGTTCTCTCTCTCTCTCTCCCTCTCCTCTCTCTCTCTCTCTCTCTCTCTCTCTCTCTGGCATGTGGCTTAGAAAGGACAATTAAAGCAGGATGTAGCAGCTGTGTGGAGCTCTCCTGACCATGTGCGTTGGGAAAGAGAAGCCCTCTTGGCCATGTGAGGAGTAATAGTAAGGGAAGAGACATGCTGTCTGTAGCAAGAGATTAGGCCATGCACTGCTACTATGATCCTGTCTGCTCTAGCTGACTCCAGAGCTGCAAAGGACTTCTTTGCAAGATGCTGTCTTGCAGACTTGGACTTTACCTGGAATATTAAGACTTGTGCTTTTCCTGAGTTTTACCATGATCCAGAGTAACACAAAAATGCTTTCCTGGACTATGATACAATGGCTGATGGTAATATATTCCAGGTCCTGAACAGATAAGGCCATGGGGAACATTTGGGGATGTCTTTGGCTCACAGTCTGCTGGGGAGCATGGGAAGTAAATGGGTCTCATGGGAAAGGAGGGCTCTGAGCTTAGGTGATCTGAGCTTCTCTGAGGTTAGAATGTTATAAAGATATGTTCCTTTCAGTATTAATTGTTGGGTCTTTCACCAAGGCACTATGTGGATAGGCCCTGGTCTGCTTGCTTGCAGTTGTGGTGAGCTCTGTAACAGGATGAGCAGTAGGTAAAAGGTATAAAAGGATGAGGTGTCTTGTGGCCAGGCAGTAGGAAGATTACCAAGTGTTGGATCTCAGAAAAATGTCTGCACTTAAAGGGGAGGGGAGATACAAAGAGTCTGAGAAAGGACCACTATCCAGTGATTTGGCAATTGAGATAATAAGATAAAAAATATCTAAGGAAATGAATTGTAAATGCATTTCTCTGTCTCATGGTATTGCCTGAGACGGATTTTCTGCCCATGTCAAAAGCATGTTGAGGTGCTATGTGTGTTTCCATCCTGAAAAAAGATTAATGGCAGAACAGCTTAAAAGCCAGTTAATTCAGCAAAAGTATGAATGGTTCTAATATTACTGAGGCTGTGACTCATGACCAAAATCTTAAACAATAGATACTAACCTGTGATATCTTTTTTTCAGTCAGAAGATAGCCATATTGGGCATAAAAGAAAGAACTTTTCTTGATACAGATTCCATCATAATGATGCCTGAAAAATAAAGGTTGTCTTAAAGATTATGGCAAACCACTGACATGTTTTATAGGAGACACAGCACAGACTAGCTAATGAAGGCTTGGAGGGGGGTTCTTCTCTGGGTTTTATCACTGACTCTGGTTATTAGGAAAAGCTAATTAGTCATTCAGTCTGATCAGGCTCTGATAGGCAGAAAATTTCATACTATTTCAAAAGCATCAGTATTGAAATGGGCTTGGAATGTTCTACTATGCTTTCCCAATTTATGATAATCTAATCTTAGGGGTGCAACAGGGAAAGCCTCCTGTTGCTGCCTCCATTAACCTCTTCAGAGTGAAGTAAAGCTACACCAAGGTTCCCTTCTCCTGGGAACTGGACTCTGGTTCCCAGAAACCCTGTGAATAAGCTGGTTCCCTTTCTGCAGCCCCCACCCTCTTCTGTTCAGCCCAGGAAACTGCAGCAGCTTGTCTGGGAAGAACAAAATTCTTTCAAATGTACTATTGCACAATGTTCAATTTGGCAAACTCTTCCACTGTCTTCAATTCCTTCATGGGTGGCAGGCCCCTTTCCTAATTTGGTTTCCATTTCCTCTTACCGATTTCCTGATTACTCCTGATTTTTATTCATTTAAAACATCAAATAACAGTAATAATTGAGTGACAATTATAACACCATGTACCAAATAACACTGAAATTTCCTTTTGTGTTAAAAATATAGCCTAGGTATCTAGCCTGCTGAATATAATTTAAATGTGCTAATTAGATGTTGGAAATTTTAGCTTAAACAGTAACTAAAACAGTTCTAATTATTTAAATATTTCAACAATTAGGTATTTACATATCTAAATAGTTAATGTTTTGATACAAAAATATATTGTAACTTGTGTTTCAACAAAATTCCTAAGAAAATAGAAATTAATATTTGGTTCTAGCATTACCTGACTGACTTTCGGCACTGGGATTTCAGTTTGAATTATGAGACCTTTATGGTAAGAGCTGATACTTATAATTTGTTCAGTTTTGTATTTTTGGTTGTTACGGAAAGCCAAACTCAAGACACGATTCAGGGAACGGAGTAAGCCTTTATTCACACGCGCGGGCTCAGAGGAGGCAGTCTCCAAATTCTGAGCCCCGAATCGGGGTTAGATAGAGGTTTATAAGCCCTAGCATTCCGGGCGGGAAACGGATGGGCTTCCCAGGTGGGGGAAGGGATTAGCATTCAGGTGGGAGATTGATGAGATTGATGTGCTACCCAGGCGGGGGAAGGGATGTGAAAACGGGCTACAGGAACAGATAAGCAATGATTAACAGTTAACCTGGGAGGGGTCTCTGGCTAGGCTGCTCCTCCCAAGTCATCTTGCCCTTATCATTCCCCCCTTTGATGCTAGACGAGATTGGCCTGAGTCTTAGCATCATCACACAAGCCATGGTGGTCACTCTGTTGGGGTTGGATCGGGAGTCTTTGGTATCGGTGATGCTGGAGGAGCAGCACTCGAGCAGCGGCTCGTCTGGTGACCGCGGTCTCTAGGTTATTAATGAGGGTGCGCAGCAGCCAGGGTCCTAGACTTATTCCTAAGAGGAGTAATATCAGGGGGCCTAGGAATGGAGCCAGCCAGCGGAGCCAGATTTGGGTATCTAAGCTCCATGTCCCTTGCCCTGACTCTCGGTAGCGCTTCGCACCATCTTTCAGCTCCTTAACCTTCTGGGTTAAGATTCCAGCCTAGGAATAGGCAAGTCCCCCCCTTTTCTGCTGTGAGGAGATCTAGGGCTCGCCTATTCTGCAGGGATCATGCCTTGGTTGCCGACTAAGATGGTTGGTCACTACTCTGGGGTGGGATCAGGTCTCTGGTTCCTCGGGTAGACGGCCCACTGTCCTTCAGTTCTCTTCAGCCGGACTGTGGGGGCTCCCTTCGAGGTGGAGGTTCGGTGGCTCCAAAGTCCTGGCTCGTCTGGATCTGCTGCTGCCTTGGCTCGAGTGTAGTGGATCCAGGGGGTTATTCCTGTAACTTTAAGGGCAGTAGGGGTGGTTAATAGTACTAGATGTGGGCCCGTCCAAATGGGTTGGAGTGGTTCCTTTTTCCAATCCTTTACCCATACATACTGGCCTGGACGGAAGGGGTGTGCTGGCCTCCCTCGGGGTTTGGGTTCCTGGCCCAACTGGGCCCTGTAGATCCTGTCTAGGGTCTTACCCAACTGTTGTAAGTACTGGGTCTGCTGTAACTCCCCCTTCTGTCGAAGATCATTGGGACTTCCTATTCTAGTTATAGGTGGGGGTCTTCCAAAAACTAAGTCATAGGGAGTATACCCCGAGGGGTTCGGGGCATTCCTAACCCGTAGCAGGGCTAGTGGTAACAGGTCTGTCCATGGCAGGCCGGTTTCTTGATGGAACTTAGCTAGGGTTTCCTTGAGAGTTCGGTTCATTCGTTCCACTTTACCGGAGCTTTGGGGCCGATAGGCCGTGTGTAGCTTCCAGTCGATGCGCAGGAGCCGGGCGACCTCCTGAACCACCTGGGCGATGAACGCCGGGCCATTGTCACTACCAATGGTGAGTGGGAGCCCATATCTGGGTATAATTTCCCTGAGTAGGATTCGGGTTACTTCCCGAGCTTTCTCAGTTTTGGCGGGGAAGGCTTCTACCCAACCCGAAAAGGTGCAGATCAGGACCAGGAGATACTTAAATCCTCGGCTGGTCTTGACTTCTGTAAAGTCAATCTGGAGGTCCTCGAAGGGCTGGGACCCCTTGTGTTGGACTCCCGGTGGGGCCCCTTGATGCGGGGCTGCATTGTTCCTTGCGCAGGTAACGCATTGAGCCAAGGCTGTTGAGCACAGGGTTGACAGGTTGGGGAAATAGAAATACCTTTTGAGCAAGTTTTCCAGGGAGGTCTTACCCAGGTGGGTCAGATGGTGGCAGTTTCTGACTAAATTGCTGGCCTGGCTCTGGGGCACATATACGCGCCCATCAGGTAACCTCCAAGTTCCCTCGGGGGGTTTCTTGTCCTCCGGCCTGTTGGGCCCATTTCATTTCTGCTGGCTCATAGTCCCAACGGTTAATGGGGTTCCCCAGCAGGGGTCCGAGAAGGGAGGGCTGTACTTCTGCCATCTCACCACATACTGCGGCAGCCTTTGCTGTCGAGTCGCCTTCTGGTTCCCGCGGGCCGGTATGGTGTCTTGTTTGGAATGGCCTTTGCAGTGGATGACGGACACCGCAGTTGGGGCCCAAACTGCTTCGAGGAGACGCAGGATTTCTGTCTTGTTTTTAATTTCCTTTCCTTCTGCTGTCAGCAGCCCGCGTTCTCGGTAGATGGCCCCGTGGAAGTGCAGGGTGGCGTAGGTGTACTTGGAGTCAGTGTAGATATTGACTTTCCGGTCCCGGGCCAACTCCAGTGCTCTTATTAAGGCCCAGAGTTCCGCTCTCTGGGCCGACCATCCAGAGGGCAAGGCTTTGGCTTCTACCACCTGGTCAAGCGTGGTTACTGCGTACCCTGCCACTCGGACCCCTTCTCTCATATAACTGCTGCCGTCTGTGAAATAGGTCACGTCAGCATTGGGCAGAGGCTGGTCCCGCAGGTCCGGTCGGCTGGCATAGACCTCCTCAGTAACCTCTAGGCAGCAGTGGTCTGGGTCCCCTAGTTCGGTCGGCAGGAAGGTTGCAGGGTTTAATCTTTTTACAGTCTTTACCTGGACCCGAGGATTCTCTTGGAGTATGCCCTGATATTGTGTCAGTCTGGGGTTGGACAGCCATCGGTGCCCCTGTCCTGCCAGGAGGCTATGGATGCTATGGGGAACGCATAGAGTGGTCTCCTGCCCCAAAGTTAATTTGTCCGCTTCTTGTAGCAGGGATACCGCGGCTGCAACTGCCCTCAAGCAAGGGGGCCACCCGGCCACGATGTTATCCAGTTGCTTAGACAGGTAAGCCACTGGGCGCTCCCAAGGTCCGGCTGATTGAGTTAAGACCCCCAGAGCAACCTTGTCCTTTTCATGCACGTGTAGATAGAAGGGCCGGCTGGGGTCTGGTAGGCCCAGAGCTGGGGCTTTACTAAGGAGGTCCTTTATTTGAGCAAAGGCCTGTTCCTGTTCTTTTCCCCATGCCAGGGGTAAGGTGTCTGGCCCACGCAGGGCCTGGTAGAGTGGCCTTGCTCTGGCTGCGAACCCCGGGATCCAAATTCTGCAAAAGCCGGCTGCTCCCAGGAACTCACGTAATTGTCTTCGTCCGCTCGGGGCCGGGAAGCGGGTAATGACCATTTTCCGGTCTGTATTTAGGGATCTTTTGCCTTGGGGAATTAGGAACCCTAAATATTTGACTTCTTTTTGGCAGATTTGTGCCTTTTTCCGTGAGACTCGGTACCCTTGTTGGGTTAGCAGTTTTAGGAGTGCTCTTGTCCCCTCTAGGCATCGGCTCTGGTCGGGGGCAGCTAAGAGGAGGTCATCAACATATTGGAGTAGAGTTAAATCCTTTCCCTCGTCTGAGAAAGATTGCAGGTCCCGGGCTAGCGCTTCGCCGAATAACGTGGGGGAGTTCTTAAATCCCTGTGGCAACCGGGTCCATGTCAACTGTGTCTTTACCGCCGTATGCGGGTCTTCCCATTCAAAGGCAAAGATAGGTTGGCTGGCTGGAGCTACCGGGATGCAGAAGAAGGCGTCCTTTAAGTCTAGGCATGTGTACCAGGCGGCGGTTGGCGGGAGTCGGCTCAGTAGGGTGTATGGGTTCGGGACTACCAGGTGCAGTGTGACGACGGCTTCGTTTACCACCCGGAGGTCCTGCACTGGACGGTACCCTGTTCCGTCAGGTTTCTTGATTGGCAGGAACGGGGTATTCCACGTTGATTGACAGGGGACCAATATACCCTCTTGGAGGTGCTTTCGGATGACCTCCGACATTCCTAGGCGGGCCTCCCTTGAGATAGGGTACTGTCGCTGGCGGCATGGTTTAGCCCCCGGTTTGAGTTCAGTTATTACTGGGACCTGGTTTCTGGCTAGTCCAGGGGGATTGTCCTCGGCCCAGACCGTGGGGAATTCCTGCAGCAGGTTGTCTCTAGCCTCAGGTCTGGGGCCATGGTCACCAGATTCCTCAGAATACAACTGGTATTCTTCCTCTCATGGCAAAATGAGTGCCATGAGCCTAGGGCCGTCCACTTGCAGCGAGGCCTCCCCTGACTGCTGGAAGGTGATTCGAGCTCCCAGCTTTGATAAGAGGTCTCGCCCTAACAGTGGGACAGGGCATTCAGGTAGGTATAAGAACTCATGTCTAATCCGGTGGCCTCCCAGATCAACAATTCGGGCCTGGCAGAAGCGTTTTGGGCTACTTGGCTGACCAGTGGCCCCTACGATGGTGACTTCTCGTCCGGATGGGGGGAGCTACAGGGGTGGTGACGACCGAGTGCTCTGCCCCGGTATCTACCAAGAAAGAGAGAGTCTGGCCCCCAACAATCGCTTCGACCATGGGCTCATGGGGGCCTAGATTCAGGGAGCCCGGTCTTCCTCATTCTGAGTCTAGGCCCGCCAGGCTAAGGATGGTGGGCGCCGGCTCAGAGGGCGCCGGACCAGCCTTCTTTTTCCGGTGCGGGCATTCTCTTTTCCAATGTCCTCTTTCCTTACAATAGGCACATTGGTCTCTCTCTACCTTGGCGTGCCCTTTCTGGTCTTTCGGTCCCCCTTTGCCTTTTGCTGCCGGCTGACTGAGGGTGGCTGCTAGCAGTGCGGCCTTTTTCTCTAATCTTTTCTGGGCTGCTTTCTCAGCGGCCTCCTCCCGGTTATTGTAGACTTTATTTGCTACCTCAACCAGCTGACTGATGTTCATGCCTGCAAAGCCCTCTAGCTTCTGGAGCTTTTTGTGGATGTCAGGGGCCGATTGGGAGACAAAAGCAGTGTTTACCATTAGCCGTGTATCTGGGCTTTCTGGGTTGAAGGGGGTGTATATCCGGTAGGCCTCTAGGAGCCTTTCTAAGAAGTCCCCGGGACATTCATCTGGCCGTTGGACAACACTGGCCACCTTTGACATATTGGTCGGTTTTCTGGCCCCAGCTCTGACCCCCCTGGAGGATGACTTCCCTGTACCGGTCCAGGGCTGCTCTTCCCTGTTCGGTGTTGTGATCCCAGTCGGGTTGGGTCTCTGGGGCTGCCACCCGAGCGTACTGGGCTGGGTCTATTGTGCCCACTGGAGCGTTGGCTTCTAGATATCTCTGGGCCTCCTGGAAGACTCTGCGCCTCTCTTCCGTATTAAAAAGGGTTAGGAGCAATTGGCGGCAATCGTGCCACGTTGGCCGGTGAGTTTGCATAATGGACTCCATTAGGTCTACGAGTGCCTGGGGCTTCTCCGAATATGAAGGTGTGTGGTGTTTCCAGTTCAAGAGGTCAGTAGTGGTAAAGGGCTGATAGTAAAACACAACCGGTCCCGGGTATAAGGTCCCATCAGGCCCCGTTCGTGGCGGGCCCGGGGTCTCTCTCAGTGGCATCTGGAGGGACTGGTGGTGTCTTAAGCGGGAGGCGATAGGAGATTCTGGGGGCGCTGTTGCCTCGGGCTGCGGGGGCGAGACTGAAGGGGGCGGTGTTTCAGGCGCCTCTGCCTGACCTCCCAAGTTCCTAGCTGGGTAAGGGGGAGGCTGCACCGGGGGGTCTTCCTCTGGCGGGCCTTGATAGATAGGGGGTCTCGCCACTGATTTGGCAACTAGGATGCGGGTTACATCCCTTTCCTTTGATTGGGAGCAACAGTTCCGGGCTCCCCTGGCTTGCCCTCCCGTAGCGCCTAGGTGACGAGGTTTGACCCCCGCACCCTTCCAGAGCCAGTCGGGCATCTCTTGCGCTAGCTCCTGCCACTTTTCTATGTAGAGGAATTGGTTTGGGTGTCCTGGACTTCCTGTGACTATGAGATGGACAGCCCTAATTATGTCTAGGTCAAGGGTTCCTTCAGGAGGCCAGCCTACCCCGAACCTGGGCCACTCAACGGAACAGAAAATTTCTAATTGCCCCGGATCCATATCGGGCTGCTGGCCCCGGAACCGGTCGAAATTCCTTAACATGCAATCTAAGACGGTAGACTGTCTGCCCCCCATGATCCCTCCCGAAACGGCGCAGACAAACGGGGGCAGCAGGGATACTTTCACTTTCGCCCGCCTGGCCTCTCCTCTCGCGAGGGACTTGGGTCTGTCTTAGCTAAGGCTGCCCGAGTAGAGTCCGGGTTAGCTTCCCAGCCGTTATGCCGTATGACAGACCGAGGACCCGCAGGTTAGGGCTCACTCAGACTCCGAAGGCTCGGGGGGAACACCGCTGGCCTGTGGAGCCACACAGTCAGTCACTCACTCAATCACACAGAGGTTAACACTTTCCCTCCCGACAGGGAAACCGTGCCAGAGGCCGGTCGGCCTGAGAGGTGATCAGCCTCTCCTTCCACCACTTATAGGTGGGTCTGATTCGGGTCTGGTCCCCGGGGCACTTAACAATCTGGCGCCTTCAGGTAGGCTTGGGTCCGCTCCCCGAGTGCCCGGGTTATGGAACGGCCCGAGGTTGGGGCCAAGGGGAGCCCAGCCCCTCGGGACCCGAAATCACCGGGGCACGTGCTTCCCTCTGGAGTCTGGGCTCACCCGGTCGACCCCAGCCGTCTTCACTGGAGGCAAATGGCCTGCTCGTGTGAGTCGTTTCCTGGTCAGGGAACCAAATGTTACGGAAAGCCAGACTCAAGACACGATTCAGGGAACGGAGTAAGCCTTTATTCACATGCGCGGGCTCAGAGGAGGCAGTCTCCAAATTCTGAGCCCCGAATCGGGGTTAGATAGGGGTTTATAAGCCCTAGCATTCCGGGCGGGAAACGGATGGGCTTCCCAGGTGGGGGAAGGGATTAGCATTCAGGTGGGAGATTGATGAGATTGATGTGCTACCCAGGCGGGGGAAGGGATGTGAAAACGGGCTGCAGGAACAGATAAGCAGTGATTAACAGTTAACCTGGGAGGGGTCTCTGGCTAGGCTGTTCCTCTTAAATCATCTTGCCCTTATCATGGTCACTTATGTTGTGATTTATTTTTTTAAATAAAAAAACATGATAAACATACCTGGGACTTCCTCTCATGCTTAGTTTCTCCGTGCCGAGATCAGGAAAAACTAAGAGTGCAAGCTTAAAGAATAAGTCAGATTTAAAGTTTTAATTCAAAAATTTAGAAATAAAACATCAGATTTCTTCTCTCATACTGTTTAAATTATAGTTCCTCTTTTCTGATGATAAAGAAAATATATGTAAATGAAATTAAAATAAATCAGACATATGAAGAAGAAAACATACCACTCAGGAAACCACCATTTAAACCTCAATGCATTTCCTTCCAATCTTTTATTGAAGCCTCAATATGTGTATGTATTATATGGGTATATACATGAAATAACTGACATCACACAATTAGCATGTCTGCAATCTTGCTTTCTATTTTCTTCCCTGCATATTTCTTATCTTTTGTTTTTTATTTTTCTCTTTTTATTTTTAAATCATGTTTATTCTATTACAGTTGTCTGAATTGTTCCCTGTTTGCCCTCCTCCACCCATCCTACCCCACCCCCTGCTCCCACAGGAGTCAATTCCTACTCTGTTGTCCATGTCCATGGGTCATTCATACATATTCTTTGCCTAGTCCCTTTCCCCTTCTTTCCAACATGGTCCTCCTACCCTACCCCCACTGGTCACTTTTGGTCTGCTCCATGTTTCCATGCCTGTGGATTCTTTTGTTCATTAGTTTATTTTATTGAATAAATTCCACTTATAGGTGAGATCATATGGTGTTTGTCTTTCAATGACTGGCTTATTTCACTTAGCATAATATTCTCCAGTTCTATCCATGCTGTTGCAAAAAGTAGGAGTTCCTTCTTTCTTTTTATTTTTAATGCAAATTTATTTATTTATTTATTCATTCATTTATTTTTAAATGTCAAGATCCATTAACATATTTAAAAATTTACATTCATTATAAAGTCTCAGCAATTAAAACAGGACACCAGCACGGAAATCATCAAGCAGATCAAAGAAATAAAATGAGTATTCTAGAAACAAATGTATATATCTGTCTAAAAAGGTAATATATGATTACATTGATATTTCAGATAAATGGGTAAAATAAGGTTTATTCAACAAATAAGGTCCATGGACCACTATTACTTGAAATACAATAAACACAGAGTCCTTATTAACACAGTATACAACAAATATTCAGGTGAGTTAAAAATCAATATGTAGAATATAAGGAGTTTTAGGAGAGAATATAAAATAATATTTTTCTTACTCTGAAGTAAAATCTTCAAACTCAGAAGCTATAAAGTAAAATATTGACAATATAAGACTATACAGTAATGCATGTATTACAAAAGTTAAAGGACAAGTAATAGAATAGGAAAGTATTTGCTACACATCTGAAAAAGGGTTACTAGTCTGTTTTTTTATTCTCTTTTTAGAAAGAGTTGGGGGGGAGTTCTACAAACATTTAATTAAGAAATGGAAAAAGAATACCAAAAAGTAATTTTTTAAATTAATTAATTTTTTTTCTTTTTTTCTTTTTTTCTTTTTTTTTAATTTATTTACTTTTTAAATACGTTTGTCTCTGCCTCCCCCCAACCTCTTTCCCTTGCCCCCGTCCCACCTAAATACATTTGGCTCCACCTTCCCCCCACCACTTTCCCCTGCTCCCCCTCCCCCCTCTCCCTCCCTCAATCTTTCCCCACTTTGGTTTTGCCCATGAGTCCTTGCTGTATGTTTCTTGACTTGCCCCTTCCCAAAAAGTCACTTTAAGCTTTTAAAAAATAATAGAAAGAGGCAAGAGATATACAAAAACAGATTTCATTTCAACAAATAATAAAGGAACAATTAAAATAACACATCACTGTCACAATCAGATTAATAAATATTAAAAAAATTGGTAATATTAAGTATTGGTGACTGTGAAAGGAATGGGGTATTCATAGACTCCTTTTCTTCATCTGCCTAAAGTAGTCCCTTTAGCATATTTTGGCTGGAGGTTTATTATTTTAACTTTCTTTTGTCCGGGAAACTCCTTATTTTACCTTCCATTTTCACTGAGAGCCTTGCTCAGTAGAGCAGTCTTGGTTGTCGGCCTCTGCTTTTTATTACTTGGAATATTTTTTGCCATTCCCGTCTGGCTTGCAGTGTTTCTTTTGGGAGCCAGCTGCTAGCCATACCAGGGCTCCCTTCTGTGTTACTACCTCTTTCTCCCTTGTTTCCTTCAAGATTCTGTTTGTCTTTGATATTTGCCATTTTAATGTTGAGGTATTTTGGAGTGGGCCTCATTGGGTTCCTCTTGAAGGGGACCCTCTGTGCTTCCTGACTTGAGTGACTTTTTCCTCTCCTCTAATTAAGGAAGTTTTCCATCATTACTTTTTCAAACAGGTTTTCTCTCCCTTGCTCCTCTTCCTCTCCTTCTGGTGTCCCTATTATACACATATTATTACATTTCAGGTTGTCCTGCATTTCCCTCATTTCCTCTTCATTCTTTTTGAGTCCTTTTTCATTTTCTTGCTCTTTCTGGGAGCTTTTATCTACCTTGTCCTCCAGCTCGCTGATTCGGTCCTCAGCTTCATCTAGCTTGCTTTTGATTCCTTCTACTGTGTTCTTCAAATCGGAAATTGAATTCTTCATTTCCTCTTTTACTGATAGTTTCTATGTCCTTATTCATGCTGATATAGTTTGCAGTTAGTTCCTCATAGTTTCCCTGTAGTTTTGTACAATTTTCTCTGAGCTCACTGAGCCCATTGAGCTTCCTTAGAACCATTGTTTGGAACTCAACGTCTGATAGTTTACTTGCCTCTATTTCATTTAGTTCTCTTTGTGGGGATTCCTCCTTTCACTTTGAGTGGGGGTGTTTCTTTTTCTTCCCATTATTTGTGAGACTCTTCTTTTTAGCTTCTGCTTCTTAAATTGATCTGTCTTGTGGTGTGAACTTCTATGGTTGGAGACCGCTGTTTTTTCTTTCTGGATCTGCCTCTGATGATTTCAGATGTTTTCCCTGTCTGACCTTAAGCAGTCTGTTTGAGACTTCCAGGAATCTACTGTTTGTGGCTGTCTCCTTCAGTTGTTAATCTAGTCACCCTGAAGTGAACAGGCTGCCTTAGACAGCTCAGGATGGGGAGGAGTCCCTCCTGGGGGTGGGGTTATTGGGTCCTCTCATGCTGTTGCCATGTGGGGGAGTAGTCAGCACTGGGATCCCTCCAGCCATTCTGTCTGTTCTCTCCCCAAAGCCTCTGTTTCCAGTCTCTTCTCAAGTGTCTCTAGACCACTCTGCGCGCCCCCCATCAGGGATCTACTATCTGTGTCTGCCACTCTGCACTCAGTAGGCATCTTAGCACAGGGCAGGGTGGAATCCCATCTGGGGGAGGGGCTATTGTGCCCTCTGACACTGCTGCCCCTGGGGGAGTGTTCTCTGCCTGAGCAAGATGGCTGCTGCTGCATGGGGAATGAGTTAGCACAGAGATCCCACTGGTTACTCTCTCAGTTCTCTCCCCAAAGCCTCCATTTCCAGTCTCTCTTCAAGTGTCTCTAGCCCAGTCTGCCCCTTTCTTTGCCAGAGACCATGGGGAGTAGCTGTAAATAAAAATTTACACTTTGGCCCTTTAAACAGTTCTTTGCGTCTCCAGCTGCCTATCTCTGGCAGAGAGTAACCTTGCTGCTTTTCACAGCTGGCTGTTTTCCATGTACTTGTTGGGCTCTGGTGCTATAGGTTAGAGATCTCCGCTTTTGGTTTAGACCCTGCTCTTTTCTCAGTGGGATCCAACTGGCCCTTTCAATATCCTTCTGGTGCTGCCGCCCCTGGGTTCCCCACCTGCCTTCTGGAGTATCTAAAGCACTCCTTACCAGTTAGATTGCACTAAAGCCAACTCTTCTGTCTCCGAGGTTACAAGGCTCCTCTCTTGTTATTGTTCAGTTGTTTGTTCCAGGTGATTTCTCCACAATTTAGTTGTAATTCCAGGTTGGTCCTGGGAGGAGGTCAGTGTGGCTTCCACTCACTCCTCTGCCATCTTGATCCTCCCCAACTGGTCATTTCAATATCATTCTGGTGGTTCCGCCCGTGGGTGCCCTGCCTACCTCTTGAGTCTCTACCTCCCACCTTACCAGTTAGGTTGTTCTAAAGCTGATTTTCCTGACTGTCCGAGGTTCTAAGGCTCCTCTTTTGCTATTATTCAGTTGTTTGTTCCAGGTGATTTCTCCACAATTTAGTTGCAATTTCAGATTGGTCCTGGGAGAAGTTCTGTGTGACTTCCATTCACTTTGCTGCCATATTGATTTTCAGGAAATGTTATTTTTAAAAAAGAAGTCAGTGTTATGGAAATCTTATCCATGTAAAATGACCACTTTTACTAGGAATGAGTATCACCCATCATGTCCAGGTCTGCCAAAGGGAGCAAGAGACATTCTCACATCTACACAGGAGCTGCTATGGAATGTGGAATTGACTCCATTCCCAGGGAGGGAGGAAATGAGAATGGGTATTTTGTTGTTCCTCTTGTAAACAATATTTTGGATCATATCCTTTTCCCTTTCCTCTCCTTTCTTTGTTTAGTCACAAATTCAGCAGCACAGGGCCCATTCCCAATCCCAGCTCCACTGAACTGGCCCATTCTTCAGGTAAATTCCCAAAAAGAGCTGCAAGTTAGTGTCTTTGGGAATGGATTCTCAAGGAACGGATTAGGATGAAAAATGCTGATAAAATACCCATTGTCATATACGAAAGACAACTTCTAAGGAAATCTAAAACAGACTTTGAAAAACAGTCTTTGATTTCTTAGAAAAGAAAGTAGGGATCGTACAGAGCCAAATCATGTCAAGCTAGAGTCACCCCACTTCCATCTGGCCAAGCTGTCAGGCAGGTAGATGAGGAGGAGGCTGCAGGGCCCAGAGCAGGCCAGTAGAGAGAAGTAGAGTCCCTGTGATTAAAGAATGTACCAGACAGAGAAAGAGGAGGTACCTGATGATTCACCATCTAGTTGTGGGATGACGTAGGTGGAAACCACTGGCCACATGTAACTAATGAGCACTTAAAATGTGCCTAGTCCAAACCGAAAGGGGCTTACATGTAAAATAGACTGGATTTTTTAGATTTAGTTGGAGAAAAAAATGAAAAAAAATAGCTCAATGATATTTAATATTGATTCCATGGTGAAAAGGTAATATTTTAGATAACTTGGATTAAATTTGTAAATTATAAAAATTATTTTCACCTTTAAAAAAACTTTAAAAGTGAGGATACTCAAATATTTAAAATTATGTCTATGGCTTCCATTAAATTTTTGTTGCACAGCACTGGACTAGATTCTGTGAGGCCCAGTCCAACTTGCCATTGGATTGGGTGAGATATCCCTTTTCCTTAAAGTCCTGTCTCCTTCTGCTTTATATTGTCCCTTAGCATTTAACCCATCTAATATACTTTATATTTAACCTTATTTATCTGTTTCCCCCAAGTATAATATAATAAGTTCAGTAAGGGCAGAAACATCCTTTTCATTGTTGTATCCTCAGCATCTAAAAGAATGTCTGGAACATAGAGGCTGCTTAATAAATATTTGTTAAATGTGGAGGGTATCAGAAGACTATCCTCTGTTAACATTTTCTGTATATTGTATAATCTAAACAAAGCTCCGGATAGAGTTTTTAATTTCCAGAAGACGTTTTTAAGAGCTAATGAGTTTTCTAAGTATGACCAAATTATGGGAAACATCAGTTGTCTGACACTACTAAGTGGCTCCTAGAACTTGTGTGGAGCTGAATTTGGGCATTTCCATGTAGGGAATAATGGCCCAGCAAAACTAGCTGAGTATCTGGAGCTGCTATAGTTTCACTCTCTGAGGGGTCATTCTGTTCCTTACCTTTCGTGAGCCTTCACTGTGGAGTGTGGACAAAAAAGGATGGATTTTTCACAGGGATGGAGTACAATAGTATGTTAGCCATCTGGTTGGCTTCCCAGAGCAAAGCCAAATTATACCCATTGAGAACCCATTAGACTCGAACAAATTCTAACATTGCTTTATCAATTAACATGGGTTCTTTTATTGTTTTTTGTTTTTTTTTTTAACTCAGGAATACTACACTTTCATCTTCACAACATACTTTCCCAAAAGTGGCTGGGCTGACTTGGTTCTGGCTGGGTTGACCTGGTTCTGAACATTTTGCCCACAGATGTCCATGTAGATCTCATACATGAAACAACGAGGCATGCTTCACCCTTCACAAATGCAGAAATTGTTCACCAGCCTGGGGGAGAGGAAGATGAGGCAGAGGAAATTGGCATCAGTTTTTCTAGAACAGGACATTTTGATGAGGATTAGTGGTCAGCATAAGTGTGGGTCAGTGGTCAGCATAAATGAAACATGTTTAATTTATTGAACACAAATGTTCACCAATCAACATCAGTAATGTATTGTACTCTTTTGTTCTCAGCTTAGAGTTAAGCACAGGGTGGGGCAAAAGTAGTTTTACAGTTGTATATAAAATATCAATTAACAAGAAGCGTATTATTATTTATTAATTATTGTATTATCGTAACTGAACAACCAACCTGTGGGGTCCTAGCAGTCACTGCCCATAGGCAAAAACTCTGGAGACAGTCTGGTGGAAAGGAAAAAGGAATACTTTTTTTGAGGGGGTAGATTTTTTAAACTTTAAAATATGCACAGCAGGTTTCTTGATGCCTCTACCCACCCAGAGGAGCCTGCAGGCAGCTGGTGGATGCCTCCCATGGCTTCATGCGGAGGGAAGTAGCATGTGGCTTGCTGCCAGGTTGCAGGTCTCCCAGGACCTGCCGGTCCAAGTCTCCTCCTCTTCTTACCAGCCTAGTGCCTGCAGTGCTCCTGGTCAGGCATGGAATGCTCAAGGAGAGATGCAGGGCCTGTTCCCCAGCTACACTGGGGCCCTACTGACAAGCCTGCACTGGCGTGGGCTGCGGGCAGGCAGTTGCCATTGCAGTTTCCAATCTGGTGAAGGGATGTGGGCCTTGCCAGCCAGCCACACTCTTTAGCCCGCCACCTTGAGCCTGCCCTCTGCCCTCTTACCAGAATCTGCTGCCCTCCTGGCCAGGCAGGTCCTGGAGTGCTTGTATAGGGACGTGGGGAAAACTGGGAAGGCCTGCCAACTGAGGAACCTCAGGCAAAGTCCACTGACTCAGGAACTTCAATCTCCCAGCTGCAAAACTACCAGACAGGAGATGGGGAAGCAAAAGTGTGTATTTTCCATGTGCTCTGCTTTTTAAAACTGCTGCCATAATCCCCCGCACAGCAGAAGTAGATGGGAGGGTATGTCCCTACCTTCCAGTTACCTCCACAGCTTTTGGCTCCAGCCCTATGTGCCTTTTTTTCTTTTTTGCTGTTTCATGCTCACATTGTCCTGGTTGCCAGGACAATGCATGCATGTGCTGTTTTTAGTGCTTCTCCACCTCTTCCCATTTATGGAGGGGTCCCCCTTTACATTATTTTCCATATGAACTGTAAACCTAATTTTGCCTCATCCTGTATATTAATTTTGGGCCATTAGATTAACAAGGTGGTGGGTGTTTGTTGTTATTTGATATTTTTGCAATGTAGGCATACTGAAAAAAAGTACAAATTAATGGGCTCAGCAGACACTGTTTCACATAACTTTATAAAGGTTGCAGCCAAGATCTCTATAACTATAAAGTGGAAAATTATTTCTTTTCTAAGACACAAAGTAATGCTTTACAGCCCCTTACAGTCTATTACCCCTGCAGGTGACTGCAGGAACCAGCATGTCTGCCAGTCCCTGTGGCCTGTGACCCAGTACAGAAATGCATAGCTCATACCCCTGCCCCTTCTTCCTCTGAAGCAGTTATTCGCATGATTTTTAAACCCAAGTGATTTAATGCAGGCCACTATATTTTGATTCTTTAAATTACAATGAGATATAAAATGTAAAACACCAAGAGACAAAGAGGCAGTGTGCTTTCATTCTTCTTTATTTCCTGCTTGGGACAGAGCTAAGTGGTATTCAGGTGTGATATGCAAGCCCTAGGCCTCTGCTCTGCTTAAGTGAGATCTTCAACTGCTCAGGTTCTCCTAGACCCTGGGGCAGTTGGGGTTCCACTGGTGATGAGGGGCTCTGCTAGTGACTCATAGCTTGCAGCTTGACCCATAGGGACAGCCAGCCAGGTGCCTGTTCCAGCAACAGGTATGTGAGTGTGTGGGGGCATGTAGTGAGGGTGACTGGGGTCGGAAAGTGTGGTCCATAATGACATCCATTCACAACCTTGCTAGGTTTCTTCTCTGCTCATACTTTTTATTTTTATTTTTATTTCTATTTTTGATTTGTTTTAGAGAGGGGAAGGGAGGGAGAAAGAGGAAGAGAAATATCAATATGAAAAAGAAACATTGACTAGGCTGCCTTCCACGTGTACTCCAACAGGGGCCTGAACCTGCAGCCCAGGCATGTGCCCTGACCAGAATCATACTGGTGACTTCTTGGTTTATGGGACAGTGCCCAACCAAGTTCTGCCTGAAAACTGCTCCTCTAGGCATCTTGTAACAACACCTTCAAGGATCTCAGACTCTGGATTAATAATTGAGGGGGCTCTGTTGTTTTTTTTAAAATCATGTATTTCTTGATTGTGGTGAAACATGCACAGCATTAAATTTATTATTTAAAAATGTACAATTCAGTGACATTAACTATTTTCACATTGCAAATAACTTTTTCCGTCTTGCAAAACTGAAACTCTGTACCCATTAAACACTAACTTCCCATTTTCTCTTCTCCCATCTCCTGGCAACTGCCATTCTACTCTCTGCCTCTGTGAATTTGACTTTAGGTATCTCATATGAGTGGATTCATACAGCATGTGTCCTTTGTGACTGGCTTATTTCATTAAGAACAATGTCTTCAAGCTTCATCCATGTTTTAGCAAGTGTCAGGATTTCCTTCCTTTTTAAGGCTGAATAATAGTCCATCATCTGTGTAAACCACCTTTTGTTTATCCTTTCATCCGTGGATGAACACTTGCATTACTTTTACCTTTTTGTTATTGTCAATAATGCTGTTATGAACATGAGTCCAGATGTCTGTTTGAGTCCCTGCTATCAATTCTTTGGGGGTACATACCCAGAAGTGGAACTGGTGGATCATATGCAAGTTCTGTTTTCAAGGTTTTGAGGAACCACAGTGGCTGCACCAATTTACATTCCCACCAACAGTGCACAAGAGCTCCAACTTTGCCACATTCTCCCTAACACTTGTTATTTTCTATTTTTGTTTGTTTGATAATGGCCATCCTAATGGGTGTAAAGTGGCTGGGTCTGTGTTTTTAATGTTAGTGTTAATGCCACTGTTAGCATATGTAACTGGATATTAATAAAGGAAAAGAATGAGGGAATCAGACATTATTAAGCATAAGCAACTGAGGAGCATGAGCCTGCTTGCATTGCCAGGAAGTTACAGCTTCACACACTTCCCAGGGAACCACCAGTCTGTTCCCTGAAGATCACTGAGGGAAGATGTAAATAATAAAAAGGGAGGTAAGCATGTATGTGTGCAATAGGAGCCAAAATGGCAACCAAGAGGCCTGTCAATCTAACCTGGGGAAACGATTGGTTGGAAGGTGAGCTCTCTGCAAGCTCAAGAAAGCTTGAGAAGTTGATTGGTTATTTTGAAAAAAATGCCTGGTCCTTCCCAATCCCAAGGTGATGTAATTCCAGGGAACAAAGCCCTTCGCTTTCTCTTGCCCAGTAACACGCTCAGCCAGGCAGGCCTAGCAGCCAACCAGGGTCTACAACAGACCACATGGACTCAAAAGGACTAAGCTTTAATAAGGTACAGAATCTCTGGACATTGGCCCTATTTCTGGCCCTGATTTCCCATGGCAGGACAGACAGATATGAGACATTAGGAACCCAGGAGGAGCACTCTTTTGATTTTGCATCTGATATTACAAATAAATCTTGCCACACCTTATTCTCCCTTGTGGGTCTCCTAAAGGGCTTTCCTTGTGACACCACAAGAACCCCACTTCCACTGGCAACATCCTAAGTACTAGTGATCTGTTAAACATTCTCCTAAGACTGGATGCCTAAAGAGCAGTCCTCCAAGGGGAACTAAACCCCTCCTCATCTCCATTGTCTCACCCACTCCCCTTGAAGAGAGTAGATGAAGAAGGGGTCATATACTAAATCTGATAAGCTCAGAGGATACCTACGTGGCAGCTGTACAAACTCAGAGACCTAAAATAACCACACAGATGGTCTGAAATTAAAATCTTCTAACTAAAAACAGTTCATGGCAAATAGTCATGTCCTAAAGCAGTATTTTGCTTAACAAAGGTCAATCTTCACCTTAACTGAGACTGTCTTTTGTTTGTTGCATCTATGATAATGTTCCTGATAATATACCTTTGGAATATCAAAGTAATTTTTTTCCAGACCCCTCAAATCACATGGTTTCTTCTGGACCCCTCAAAATTATATGGATTTAATGTAAATCCCTTATGCCTCCTCTGATTGTAATGTATAAAATAAGGTGCATAACTGCCATTCTCTGGAGTATTTTCTCAATCCGAGATTTTGCTTCCTAGCAATTATCATCAACTTTGGCTCCAATAAACTCATATAAATTCTTACAGGTTTGGACATTTCTTACGTAGGTCAGAAGCCTGTAAGGGTAAGGACTTGTAGCATAGGACTTGAATTATTAATGCAACTCACTGCCAAAACGATCTATAGCCAGGGGTGTCCAACCTGTAGCCTGTGGGCTGTATGCGGCCCAGGATGGCTATGAATGCAGCCCAACACAAAATTGTGAATTTACTTAAAACATTTTTTGCTCATGAGTTTTCATAGTATTTGTGTACTTAATGTGTAGCCCAAGACAAGTCTTCTTTTTCCAGTGTGACCCAGAGGTTCCAAAAGGTTGGATGCCCCCGGCACCATCCTAAGTGATTTAGGGTACCTGCACTGTTTGTGCAACCTGTATTCCTTCAGTTCACAAACTGCCTTAGGAGGATATTCAGATAGTTTTTGAATCTCAGTTGTTCTTTCAAATCTCTGGAGCATAACTGCAAACCCCAGAAACTAGTTTACTAAAGGTGGTCTGAAATTGTTGACAAAGGCCTTCCCTGTATCCTTTCTTCTAAGAGGGTAGTGACATTCTGAGGGGTCTGAGTTAATGACTGTAAAAGAAATAGAGCACTGCTATGTAACACTTTGAAAACATCATGTTTTAATACTTATTCTTTTGATTTTTTTCTCTTAATGTAG